GAGCGGCTGGAGCGGGGCCGCCACCGGCTGCAGCAGGAGCTGGACGACACCACCGTGGACCTGGAGCAGCAGCGGCAGCTCGTGAGCTCACTGGAGAAGAAGCAGCGCAAGTTCGACCAGGTGAGTGCCTCAGTTTACCCAGCTGGAGAGTCGTCGCCAGGCAACCCGCACTTCCCAGCCATTGGAGGAACTGGGAATGTGTGACGTCACAACATGGCCGCCAAGTAGCGTTTGGCCCGGAAGCCAGGCGCTTCCTCCAAGCTGCCCTGAATAGGGTGCGCTTGACCGGTGGACTCTCTGGACACCTCCGGCAAGTTGCTCTTCCAGTCTCAGCCTCAGTTTACCCATCTAGAAGTTGGGAATAGTAACAATTTTTTGTGGTGTTGTGGGCTGAACCCAGGGCTACATCCCCAGCCCCGCCCCCTTTTTTATTGTATCAGGATTCGAACTTGGAACTTTATGCCCGGCAGAACCATTGAGCTAAATCCCCCCACCCCAGCCCATTTTTATTTTAAGACAAGGTCTCACTGGGCTGGGCTTGAACTTGAGATCCTCCTGCCTCAGCCTCGCACAGTACTGTGTACCGCTTCTCCCGTTGAGGCCCCATCTCAGAGTTTTCCCAACCTCCTGGTGGTGCTGAGGATGGGGGGGCAAGCCTTTATAGCCCATGAGCCTATGGGGGACGTTTAATACACAAACTCTAGCACCCACCTAGAAAATGAAATAGCACCAGACATTTGGCAGCCTGAGGATAGAAGAAAAATCGCAGAACCCCAGAAAGGCAAGATAGGCAATCTTGAAGTTAGATGCCAACACAGCGCCCTTCTGGCTGTGTGTTGTGGATAAATTGTCCAACCTCTCTGTGCTTCATTTTATTCATCTTGGGACCAGGGATGTACTGCACCTGCCTCACAAATGCAAGTCCTGAATTCAACCCCCAGTACCAGAAAAAGAAAAAAATTTTTTTTTACTAAAAAAATGTCCATTTCACTCATCTAAAAACTGCCGGGAGTATGTGTCACTATTCCGTGTGCATATGTGACAGAAACCCGGGCTGGATATGGAACTCTAGGTGGGCTGTTTTAGTCTCAGCGCTTTCCCGGTGTGGTCCTGTTACTCCTGGCCGCCACTGTTTCAGCGGGGAAGTCAGTGGTCACTGACACCGCCTCCGCCTGTAGGGAGTGTGGTGTTTTCCTAGCTGATTTGGAAATCATCTCCTGCCAGGTCTGGTGGTGCACTCCTGTCTCCCCACAAAGTCTGAGCCCAGCCTGGGAAACGCGGTGGCCTCATGAACCCCTATCCCAAGATAAGAAGGCCTGGGGAGGTGGCTCAGGGTTTTGCACTGGTCCTGTTCTGTCGTTGTTGAGCTTCTTTGTGGGTTGACAATCGTGGAGGGGTTGTTTTATCAAATGTGAAAATTCTCAGCCATCATTTCTTCATATATATATGTGTGTGTATATATATATGTATATATATATATATATATATACATATATATATATTATGTATTTTGTACCGGGGATCGAACTCAGGACCTTGTGCTTGCGAGGCAGGCAGCGGTGCCACTGAGCTAAATCCCTGGCTCATTTTATTCAAATATTTCTTGGTCCCACTTTTTCTCTTTCTCCTTCTTCTTGGACTCTAAATACATATATTTAATATAGTGTTCATTGCCTAATACTGTCCCACAAATGATCAAGCTCTATTAATTTCTTCATCCTCTAGAGTTTGATTTAAATGTTTTCATGCAAATCTCCATTTTGGGGGGGTTTGAGACAGGGTCTCACTATGTAGTTGAGACTGACCTGGAACTCACTATGTAGCCAGGCTGGTCTGAAACTCACAGCAATCCTCCTGCCTCAGCCTCCCAAGTTCTGGGATCACAGGTGTGTGCCACCACACCCAGCTTTGGCAAATCTCCATCTTGATCAGCATCTCTGACTCAGAATAATTAGAGATATTGATGTTTTCACATGTGTCAGTAATGTATTAATTTGTTATGCTGAGTAGGATTCCGGTTGAGATAAATCACACTTTGTGTATATCTGTTGACCTTTGATTAATGACCCTTGGATAATTTTCTATTTGGGGCTCTGATGGATAAATCCTTAGTCCTTCTAATAGATATGTACTAGTTTTGTTTTGTGTTTTGGTACTGGGGATCAAACTCAGGACCTTGCACTTTTGAGGAAGGCGGCAACACCACTGAGCTAATCCCCAGCCTGAGATATGTACAGGACTTAATTCACATTTCCCTAATGACCAGTGAAGGTGATGATATTCTTTATTTTTAATAGGGTCTCTCTATGGAGTTCAAACCTTGAGCTCACTATATAGTCTAGGCTGGCCTCAAAATCCTGGTGATCCTCCTGCCTCAGCCTTCCAAGTGCTGGGATTATAGGTGTGTGCCACCGTGCCGAGCTCTGTATATATTTTTAGGTGAAGTATCTATTCACATTTTTCAACATTTATTTTTAAATCAGGTTGTTACTTTCTTATTATTGAATTCCACAGTTTTCTATATGTTACGAATAAAAGTTCTTTGTCACACATATGCTTTCTGAATATAATTGGCCAGTCTGTCTTGCCTTTTAATTCTCCTGCTAAGAGCTTTCAGAGGGCAGAAGTTTTTAATTTTAATAAAGTCCAATGTTTTATAGTTTGGCATTATATATCTGAGATCATTGCCTATATCAAGGTCACAAAGGTTTTCTCTTCTGCTGCTTTCTAGAAGTTTTCCAGGTTTAAATTTATACTTAGCTCTATCATCCATTTTAAAGATAATTTTAATATGTGCTGCTTTCATGATTTCAAATTAATTTTTTTCAGCAGTACTGGGAATTGAACCCAGGGCCTTGCCCTGGGCTATATTGCTAGCCCTTTAAAAAAGTTGTTTTTAGTTTTTCAGGCTATCTCACAGATTCCCAGCCTGGGCTCAAACTTGCAATCCTTTTGTCTCCGCCTCCCAGAGTGTTGGGATTACAGGTGTGTCCCACCACACTCAGAGTAGATCTTTTGTCTCAGAAATGTTTCGGGGCTTGGGATTTAGCTCAGTGGTTCCGCCGCCTGCCCCACAAGCACAAGGTCCCAAGTCAATACCATATCTTTCACATTTTTTGTCAGATCTAATCTAGTTATTTCATAGTTTTGTTGCTTTTTTATTTTATTTTTATTTTTGGTACCAGGAATCAAATCAAACTCAGGTCCTTGTGCTTGCAAGGCAGGCAGTGGAACCACTGAGCTACTTGCCCAGCCCAGATGCTATTTTAAATGCTATCATTCTTACTTCAGTTTCTGATTGCTACTATGTAGAAATACAATTGGCATCTGTATATTTGTCTTATATCCTACAACTTAGCTAAGCTCACTCATTAGTGCAGGTAGATTTTTAAGTAGATTTCTTAGAGACAATGTTAATTTACTTTAACAGTAACACACAGCCTTTGGACCAATTTTGATACATCTTTCTTTATTTTTCCTCTATCTTTCTTCTGGAATTCAAAATATATATAGGTTTGGTCACTTCATACCTTTTTTTTTTTTGTACTGGGGATTGAACTCAGGATGTTGTGCTTGCAAGGCAGGTGCAGTGCCACTGAGCTAAATCCCTGGCTGCCCTCTTGTAGTTTATTAAAGCTCAGTTAAATTTTCACAATCTTTTTTTCTTTCTTCGCTCTGTTTGGATAATTTCTCGTGACCTATTAAGTCTGCTGATTCTTCTGAGGTCTCCAATCTGCCCTTATCCTCATGTAGTGACTTCTTTTATGTCAGATATCACGTTCAGATATCAGGTTTGGCATTTTGATATGTTTTTTGTCAGTTACAAATCCTCTTGAACAACAACCTCTTCTCCCACTGTATCCATCCTGTTCTAACATTTTCTCATCATCACTGAAGTCCTTGAGGATCATTCCCATAAAGAGGTCATCTGTGGGTCTGCTTTGTGGCCTGGTTTTTCTCTTGACTGTACATCCTGTCGTTTTCCTTTACATGTCTTAGAAGTTTAATTGCTTGCAAGTTATTGTGTCCTTTGAAGAAGATAGTAAAGGTGGACATCTACTTTTTAATTAAACACATATATTTTTCCTGCCACTTCCCCGGGAGGAAGGAACATTGAAGGGTCCGTGGAGTTCGGTTGCAACTTTTATCCCTCTTGTGCCTCAGTCCATGTCTGTCTCTTCGGCGGGCCGCTCCTTCTTCCTCAGCCCACAGTGTGCTCCTTTCATCTAATCAATTTCTCCTGTTCTGTCTTCTCAACAAAAGCTTCTGGCTGAGGAGAAGGCAGCTGTGCTCCGTGCAGTAGAGGAACGTGAGCGGGTGGAAGCCGAGGGCCGGGAGCGCGAGGCTCGGGCCCTGTCCCTGACACGGGCCCTGGAAGAAGAACAGGAGGCCCGGCTCGAGCTGGAGCGCCAGAACCGGGCACTGCGGGCCGAGATGGAGGCGCTGCTGAGCAGCAAGGACGACGTCGGCAAGAGCGTGAGAAGGGCTTGAACCCCCAGGACACCCGTGTGGGCACACACATATGAAACGCACATCCCACCGGGCTTCTCTCTTCCCTCACAGAAGCAGGGGGGAGGAGGCAACAAGTCCAGTGCCAAGCCTTTCATTCATTTATTCCTTCCGTGCATCCCCCTCAGAATGACCCTAAACATATCCCCTGAATGACCTGTGCATCATAATTCTCTTGTCTTGCTGGGTGTGGTGGTGCACATCTAATCTTAGTACTCAGGAGGCTGAGCAGGAGGACTGCCTTCAGTTCAAAGCCAGGGATGAGATAGTGAGACCCTGTCTCGTAAAACAAAAACACACAAAAATTTTTTTTTCTGCCTCACTCCACAGCCTTCAGGGGATCCCAGGCCTCCCCTGGCACTAGAGAAAAAGCACACATTAAGTGGTGGTTGTCACGGACTTATCTGGAGGGGGCTCAGTGCCAGGTGCATAGGTCACAGGGAGGCCTTGGAGGTCAGCGGCCAGTTCTCAAGGAGGTGACACCTATGGACAGGCTGCTAGGCATCCGAGAGAACTTACTCAGGGCCTGGGGTTCCTGGGAAAGACCTAGGAACCCCCACACTGAGAAATAGAACAGAGGTAGAGCTGGTGATACCCAGAGGAGTCTGGCAAAAACCAACCCCAGAGCTACAAGAGTTCAACCCATTTCACACGGGATCCCCAGGATGAAGCCCCAGGAAGGGGGCTCAAAACCCCCAAGTTACAGAACTCCAGGAAATAAGAGTAAGAGTCAGCCAATCTAACCCCGAAACCAGGCTCTCCAGAATTTAAGATAATAAATTGCACAGCGAGAGCCGCTACCTGAAATGCTTGGGACCAGATTGCTCCAGATTTCAGATTTTTTTGGACTTTGGAAATTTGCTTATACATAATGAGACATCTGGGGTCAGGACCAAGGCCTCAATACGAGATTCATTCGTGTTTCATATACACCTTACGCAGATAGCCAAAGGTGCATGATTTCATGCGCTATTTCTAGTGCCCCTGTGCTTTGACTGTGAGCCGTGAATTAAAGTCATGCGTGGCATTTCCCCTCGGACCGCGCTGTCGCTGTTAAAGCCCTATCATGCGCAGGCGGTCGGAGAAGTGTTTTAAGCTGATTCTGAACAGGACCTGCAGGCAGTCGGTGCCATCCCCACGCTCCCGGACCCTGCGTCTCCTCTCCAGCCACCCTGCTCACACCTGCTCCCCACCAGGTGCACGAGCTGGAACGCGCCCGCAGAGTGGCTGAGCAGGCAGCCAGCGACCTGCGAGCACAGGTGACCGAGCTGGAGGACGAGCTGACAGCGGCTGAGGACGCCAAGCTGCGCCTGGAGGTGACCGTGCAGGCTCTGAAGGCGCAGCACGAGCGAGACCTGCAGGGCCGCGACGAGGCCGGTGAGGAGAGGCGGAGGGAGCTGGGCAAGCAGGGGGGGAGCGAGGGCCCGTGCACGAGCGAGACCTGCAGGGCCGCGACGAGGCCGGTGAGGAGAGGCGGAGGCAGCTGGCCAAGCAGGTGGGTAGGCAGAGCTCCTGGAGGAGCGTGAGCGCCAGAGAATCCACCCAGCTCCTCCCTTGGGGCTGCCAGCCTCAGTAACGTACGGGACAGGGCCTGCACAGAACAGTGCTGTTTATCAGAGAATCGCAGAGCACCGCCATGGAACACATGTACTGCGGGTAGTGAACCTGGGAGGCTGAGGCAGGAGGATCTCAAATTTGAGACCAGCCCGGGCAGCTCTGAGTGCCAGAAAGATTCCGCTGGGGTAGTGTGAGCAACAGTCTCAGTGTGAGCTTGTGCTAGAAGTGAGGGGGGAAGAGAGATTAACAGGGGACCGACCCATTTGATTCAGCCCTGAGGGCACTGGGGAGCCCTGGATGTGCTGTCCTCCTGTCACTGTGTGGGAATGGAATGGACGGAGGCCTGGGAGGAGGCTCAGGTGAGAAGGAGGGACCCCGGAAGACACTGGCGACAGGTAGCGAGTCACGTGCCTAACCCTGCCCTGACCCGAAGCTGAGGGACGCGGAGGTGGAGCGGGACGAGGAGCGGAAGCAGCGCGCCCTGGCCGTGGCCGCCCGCAAGAAGCTGGAGGCGGAGCTGGAGGAGCTGAAGGCGCAGACTGCGGCCGCTGGGCAGGGCAAGGAGGAGGCGGTGAAGCAGCTGCGCAAGATGCAGGTGAGGCGGAGCTGTGGCCCGGCGGGCGGTTTGCATTTCTCTTACTGGAAATGTGGCTGCGAGTCCAATTTCATCATCATTTTATGTTTGATATGAAGACAGTGTATGGGCTGTTTGTTTTCCCCTCGTTATGGAAGTCGTACCGGTGGTGGCGCACACCTGCCATCCCGGCACTCAGGAAGCTGAGGCGGGGGGATCGCCACAAGTTCAAGGCCGACTTGGACTACATAGTGAGTTCAAGGCCAGCCTGAACTACATAGGGAGACCCGAAGCAAGTAACAGTCATCATCCACGGCTGCGCTGCGCTGTGGGAGGGCAGAGGGCCAGCATGGAGAGGAAACCCCTAGACGGGCGTGCGGACACACTGGGTTACTACGGGAATCCTGCGGGGACGGCCGACTGCTTCACGGTGCCTGTTTCCCCGTCTGGATACTATGGAGTTGGGAGGATGGACACTGCTTTGCGTGTGTAACGGGGCCTGGCCATCACTGTCACCGACGCCCTGTTCACCTTACTTTAAAATGCGTTCTAAGCCTCCCGCCCCCGTGCCACCAGCACAGCCCGTGGCGC